ACATTATAAAGCAAAAGAAAAGCAACCTGATGTGCACGTTAAGGGGAAGCGGGGAGCCTGGGCTCTCACAGACACCAGCAACTTTCCAGGAACTTCAAGAGTCAAAGGAGGTCAAATTACTGAATCAGCGCAGCCTCACAGCTATAGGTAAGAGTCATCTCGGTCACAATTAACGATGTGAACACACGGGGGTTAAGTGTACTCAATAAAGCAAAAGAAAAGCAACCTGATGTGCACGTTAAGGGGAAGCGGGGAGCCTGGGCTCTCACAGACACCAGCAACTTTCCAGGAACTTCAAGAGTCAAAGGAGGTCAAATTACTGAATCAGCGCAGCCTCACAGCTATAGGTAAGAGTCATCTCGGTCACAATTAACGATGTGAACACACGGGGGTTAAGTGTACTCAAGCCTGATATGCCATTCCTTGCCTACAAAGGCACAGATAAAGCCAGACTGGGTGTTTTCTCTCTCTCAGAGAAAACTCCCAACATTCAGCTTAGGATCTTGCCTACAGCAGATCCCACGGTTTGACCAAAGCCAGCACTGCAAAGCGACATGAAATCTGAATGCATGTGCATGCACCAGTATATAGAAAGGGAAGGACCAAGCACCCCAGCCATCCACTGCAGGCATAGTCCTTTGCTTCACATTTGAGATAAACTCAGAATCTGGGCAAGTGACCTCCTTCTGAGTTTGCTATAGCACTCAGAGCAGGATTTTGTAAACCCCTTGATGAGACATCCCTCCACAGCATCCACTACCCCCTCCCCATTTGACCCATCCTTCCCCACAAGCCACAGGCCCTACAGCCCCTGCTCTTCAGGCTGTTTTGAAAGCTGTTCCCAGTCTTATTCAGCCAAAAGCAATGGGCCAAGTAGAGCCTAGTGGATTCAGCCTGAAGCTTCGGTATCAGCGCAGCCACTGAAAAATAAGCCAACACCATGACTACATTAGGAGGGTGGCGGATATCTGCAGATATCTGCAGAGGCCAAAGCACCATTCAGGCCCCAGTTAAAGTCTTCAGTAAGCTCTGACATGACACAGAGGCCATTCCTCACGTACAAGCCCTGCTTCTGGTCCACATCTCCTCTCAGGGCATACCAGTTCCTCTTGCTGGCAAGATAAATGTCTCTTCATCTCCCTGGTCATCCTTCCCATGTTGCCAGTGGGATACACAAGGCCTGTACCAACTCTTCTTTATTCTGTGTTTGCTCTTCCCATCAACTAGTTACTTTAGTTACTAAAAACCAATGAAGAATTTCCAAGAGTCTCTGATCTGAATTTCACTCCCCCTCTTTTTTCCTGCTAGCCATCAGCTTATTTTGTGCCACCGTGATGGAGGCAAGTCATAGAGGGAACATCCCTTCCAGGTTTGGTGCTGAACAGGTGGGAAGGAAACGTTTCACCACAGAGGTTACCTTCCAAACCGTGTGCTAGGTTAACACCCATGGCCACAGAAGTCAGTACCTACAGTCTGCTGCAATAATCAAGAATTCTACCAACTGGCCATTAAAACTACCCACCAATTCACCAACTCCACCTGCTTCATTGGCTACTCCAAAGAGTGCCATTTCTTGCTTCTACAAGACTTCTTCCTTGCTCAGGGTGGAATGAGACACAAGGAAAGCCGGCGCTGCAGTGGGAGGTCCTGGGAACCATTCCTGCAGCAGCGCATTGTAGCTCCCCTCTGAAGCAATACATCCTCCAGCTGACAACAACAAAAACACAGCCACCTTCCTCCTGACCTGAAGCAACGGAGATCACCAACCACAAACACTGACAGGCAGATATAAGCACAGCAAAGGGCAGTAATTCTTTTATCTCATTTTATCTGCTGTGGCCAGGAGGTGTTAACTGCACCCGCCACTGTCCTGACACAGGAAGAAGTGTGGTGTAATTGTATTCCCTTTAAGAATGGTACAGCTGTCCAGCCTGGCGTGGCATTTGCTTGAAGGCCACCACCACGTTTGTGATGAATGTAACTGCGTATTTTAGCTCTCCTTGGGCATACTGGGTTAGTGTAATTTCAAAAGCTTTAGAGCGCCTACATCCCAGAGAGAGGAAGAACTGTGGGATACAAACACAGCTAGCAAAAGGAATGAAGTTCTCAAACCAGAAGATGCTGAGCTCCACAGCTTTGAATGGTCAAACAACTTCCCCTTTCTTGCACCAGAACAGAGCAAAAATTAGTACAACCCTCTGTTGTGGTCACTTCAGACCTCATATCCTGTAAGAAGCCCTTCAGTTCAGAGGACTTGTCTAGCCTAACTCTCAAAACACAGACCCCCATACCACCTGCACCCCACCTCTGCACCAGAGCCCTCCCCTTCCTTTCCCACATGCAGCACCCCCCACCTCCTTCCCCCGGTAGGGCTGTGGTTCCCCTCCATTTTGCCTCCTGCAGCTCGCACTTTCCTCTGCGGCCCCACATCCTGCAGCACACGTTCCCCCAAGCCCATGTCCTGCAGCACCGCGTCGCCCCAGCTTACTGCAACTCAGCAGGGAGACATACCCCTTCCCTGCCCCAGCAGCCCCCGGCTGCATGAGGGCAGCCCCAGTCCAGCCCTCCCATCCCTGGTTTCCCATCTGCAATGGCACCATTTTTTTTTAAACTGCATTTTACAAGTAAATCACGTGCTCAGCTGCTAGTTTGGGTGCAGAGCCAAGAAACACTCCGGTGC